AACATTTTCTATAACTTGAATATAAGTATGATTTGACTTTCAAATCCACCCTTATTCAAAAAAATATATTAAGAATATATAACAAGTAAGGAAGGCCTAAGTTCGGATGTAACCGAACATTTTATACTCTCGCAAAGTCAAATGGTATACTCGTTTGAGATTTCTTTGTCGATTGACTGATATTTTCGGTAGAAGGTCAACTATAGGCAAAGGGGTCCACATATTTAGTACCTAGGGGCTTGAAAAGCTTTGGTTCGATTTAGACAATTTTTGGTCACAAGGTGGCATACTTTAAACGTATTATTCACGCAAAGTTTTACCCCGATATAATCATTGTTGCTTGATATGCATAGTGGAAAGTGAAATAATCAGATGGAATTGAAAATGGTGTTATATGGGAAATAGGCTTGGTTGTGGTCCGATTTCGCCTATTTTCGCACTATAACATAGAAATATGAGGAGAATGCTATGTACTGAATTTGGTTGAAATCGGGTTAGCAGATACTAATATATCGGTTTTCATCTAAAAGTGGGCGGTGCCACGCCCAATGACTGATTTTGAACGCGGTTCCCATTAAGTTATCTCATACCATCCCAGGGATAAAATTTAATGTCTCTGTCGTGTTTAGTGCTTGGTTTATCGTGCTTTTAGTATTTTTTAACAGTACCGTTTTATGGGGAGTGGGCGGGCTTGCCACCCGATTTCAAATTAATATTTATTTGGTATGCAAGATGGTCTAAACTCAAATAAAAAAAAGTTCAACGAAAATGTGTTACAAGTTTTTACTTAAAATATAGTTTTTGACAAGTGCTGTACATACTAAGGCCTTTTCGAAGACAATTCAAAGGACAAATAGACGAATATTTTCCACATACTGTATTTAGAACCAAGTGGCGTCGATGGGTTCCACAGCTGCAATAGAGCACTGCGTACACTATACGGCGTCTTCTTTAATCCCCTTCCTTACATTTCCCAACTTCAGATCGCCCGTAAACTCTTTCACCTTTCATTTTTGTTACTTAATCTTCCTTTTTCAATAGGTTTCAACAACCTATTATTATTTTTTCTTTCATAAAATATATACCCTGGTCTATTAATCTATATGCTATAATATGTTCACTATGCTCCTGTAAGATACGTGTATGTTTACACGATAATTTAGGTTTAGCTTTTTAGACACTCAGCCCACCAATTTTTCTTACTAGAGACTGAAAAAAGGTTTGGCACGCGTTACTCAGCAATGGCCTGGGAATTAACTCAAACCTCAAGAAAATACTCAACTTATGCTCAGATAAAAGTATGTGTTTGCCAGAGATTGTTAAAGCGAACAACAAACGACATAATCAACGCATAAATCAGAGAGCTTAGAGTTAAACGATGTCGGTGAGCAGCAAATTAAATTTCCTTACAACTGTTCTCACTGCATACAGAGGAGAACGAAAGTAGGGGAAGTGAAGCAGTTAATGAAACTAAGTAAAGAGATAGCATTTGAAGTAAAGAGCAGCACTAATAAAAAGAGAGCAAGAGCACATAAACCAGAAAATGATCAACCTAACCAACAACCCTCAAAGCGAAGGATCGTTGGATGCTGTAGCTGTAGCTCGCATCGGTTTGAGTACAGGTAAGCATAACCACAGCAAATGAGTATTTCACTCTTTGTCTGCAGATTCCTGCGGTGCAGTAGTGATACAGGTAAGAATCGGAGAATTCCTGTGCAATTCCCATGCACCAACGGTGGCTAAGGTGCACGAGGAAAAAGGTACAAATAGCGCAGCAACGGCAGGAAGGGCATCATTCAGCTACAGAGCGTGGCAGTGTCAGGACAGCAAGACTCCAAGACAAGAAACTAAGTTAAAGAAAAATTTTCTCGAAACAAATTACGTTCAGCATACGATACTCAAAAATGGCACTCGGCAGCATCACCAGCAACAGTCAACATCCCTACCAAAGACCACAAACGCTGTGCGGCACAACACGCAACATGTATCAGCCACAGCCGCGTGCCATCGCACCTGCACCACACACACCGCCAACCGCAACGAAACCCACAGACGATAAATGTTGCATCAGCGGCACCACGCTCGACTCCAACAATCCCTCGGTAGTGCGCCGCAACGCACGCGAACGTAATCGCGTCAAACAAGTGAACAACGGTTTCTCGCATCTGCGCCAACACATACCGCCTGCGATCATTGCCGATCTGAGTAACGGTCGCCGTGGCATTGGACCCGGTGCACACAAGAAACTCTCCAAAGTCGATACGCTACGCATGGCTGTGGAATATATACGTCGGCTGCAGCGCGTTATCGACGAAGTGGACGGCAAGCGTGCGCCTGTGTGTGCACCAGCCCAGCCACAAACACCGAGTTGGTCCAATATGCCAAGCAGCGCGCACAATTCACCACCACCGACGCCACCTAAGAGTAATATGCAGGCAACGATATTCGCTGATAAGATACAACAACACTACCAAACACACAGCTATGCCGATAACTTGCAACATCAGCAACAACAACCACACCAACAACTCATTAACCTCAAGTATCAACAATCGCTAATGCCGCAACAGTATTTCCAACAGCATCCGGCTTTGGTATCACCAGCTGGCTCGGTTAGTTCGAGCATCGGCAGCGACTACAACAACTCTGATGCCTCATTATACTACACACATTCACCAACTGCCTTGGCGAGTCCAACGCAATTTTCGCTGCCTCTGCAAATGAAATACGAGCAGCAGTACAGTGAGGAGGCCGCGGCGTGTAGCTCGGGCGAAGAGGAGGATCTGCTCGACTACATCTCGCTGTGGCAGGATGAAGTGTAAAGTTGGCATCCACTGAGTTGCGCTGCAAATCGAGTTAGCCACTAGTCAGCTGCCGTAATTGAGAGACACTGCAGAGAGACTGCGACGCGTCGTAATTAACCAATGACTGAAACGAGTATTACCTCATTTGAAACTTGTTAGTATTATTTAGTCGTAATTATTTATTTGTTTGAGTATTTTTTGATGAGCGTTTGTACAAATGCATGTTTAAACATTGTGCCTGTTTGTAGTTTTAAGTTTTGTTAATTTTAAATTAATTCTAGTTTAAGTTTTAGCTTTAGTAATGGAAGACTATGATTTAAAAACAAATTTTAGATTTAAATGCAAACCAACGGAAGACACTAAATATACTTACAATATATTAAAAAATTTAAAGTTAATTGTTTTTACTGTTAAAATTTCCGGCCAAGGACTGTCAACTCGACAAAATTCTGCCGCTACAACAACAACGATCGGAATACAGTTCTTGTAAGGAACCTTCCTATTTTTGAAAGGTGTAATACCGATGTTAACATTTTTTCTTATTCTAATATTATTTGAGCTGTCATCGATTAATTTTCATAACGTTGGGATATTATATTGACCATCTGTCCAAATTACCTGCTAGGCGTTTTTTGAATGCATAAAAGAATCACAACACTTAGGGAGGTAAGGTTAATTCGTGCTAAAACACGTATGTTTGTGCGACACAGTTAAAATCTCTGTATCAAAACCAATAGCTCATTAAATTTGACATTCGAATAATGCTATATAAAATTTTAACCAAAAAATATGCCTGCAATTATTCGAAAGTGTCTCGAAAAACAGTACATGCGCGGTGCTCCTCATAACTTGGTGCTTGATCATCCGAAATGAAAAAATCAAAGTGCTTCCGTTAAATAATAATTTGCTCCAGGTAACACCGAAAGAGTTTTCCAAAATTGAAATTTTTCAATAATCCGAATGTGAGACACGATCATCACCTGTATCACCCTATCCGTACTAACCAAATACCTTAAATCCGTTACTTTATTGTTTAGTTTATGAGGAGAATGTTTATTTTTAACTGAATAATTGTATATATATTTCTTTATTATTATTTCTCCACCAATTTAAAATATTATTAATACCAGAATTCAAGTTTTAAGTGGAGAATTTTATGCTCATAAGTTAAGTTTCGTCAATGAACACTACGACACTACGAGCTTATAGTTATACGTACTGCTTAACCAAAAGTTTAAACATTCTTCAAGAAAGCTTAGTTTGATAGAAATGTCCTAGGCTTTAGTAATGCCTTTAGTGGCAATAGAAATTTTAGCTTTCGAGAACATTTCTTTTATAAATGATGATATATGTACATACCATACAATTTTTTATTATCGGATTGCTAAAAATTCATTATAATTATGTAAGGCCCTTTTATTTTACATACTTGATTGAGAAAAAAAAAACCAAAAGAAAAAAAACACGAAAATTTTTATAAACAATTTTTTGGTACTACCAAAGAGGAAGAGCAAGAAATGTGACATACCAATAGTTTGTTTCTGGGAAATCTCTTAGACAATGTTTACCAGATATTGAGGTTTCCCAATATTCTGTGATTTCATATTAGCGATGTTGAAACATATTACATATTCTGCAACTGGCACAAGTATCTCCCATGCTTTCATAATCAACTTCGAAATTCCAACAATAATGAAAATTTTAACAGTAAAAACAATTAACTTTAAATTTTTTAATACATTGTAAGTATATTTAGTGTCTTCCGTTGGTTTGCATTTAAATCTAAAATTTGTTTTTAAATCATAGTCTTCCATTACTAAAGCTAAAACTTAAACTAGAATTAATTTAAAATTAACAAAACTTAAAACTACAAACAGGCACAATGTTGAAACATGCATTTGTACAAACGCTCATCAAAAAATACTCAAACAAATAAATAATTACGACTAAATAATACTAACAAGTTTCAAATGAGGTAATACTCGTTTCAGTCATTGGTTAATTACGACGCGTCGCAGTCTCTCTGCAGTGTCTCTCAATTACGGCAGCTGACTAGTGGCTAACTCGATTTGCAGCGCAACTCAGTGGATGCCGACTTTACACTTCATCCTGCCACAGCGAGATGTAGTCGAGCAGATCCTCCTCTTCGCCCGAGCTACACGCCGCGGCCTCCTCACTGTACTGCTGCTCGTATTTCATTTGCAGAGGCAGCGAAAATTGCGTTGGACTCGCCAAGGCAGTTGGTGAATGTGTGTAGTATAATGAGGCATCAGAGTTGTTGTAGTCGCTGCCGATGCTCGAACTAACCGAGCCAGCTGGTGATACCAAAGCCGGATGCTGTTGGAAATACTGTTGCGGCATTAGCGATTGTTGATACTTGAGGTTAATGAGTTGTTGGTGTGGTTGTTGTTGCTGATGTTGCAAGTTATCGGCATAGCTGTGTGTTTGGTAGTGTTGTTGTATCTTATCAGCGAATATCGTTGCCTGCATATTACTCTTAGGTGGCGTCGGTGGTGGTGAATTGTGCGCGCTGCTTGGCATATTGGACCAACTCGGTGTTTGTGGCTGGGCTGGTGCACACACAGTCGCACGCTTGCCGTCCACTTCGTCGATAACGCGCTGCAGCCGACGTATATATTCCACAGCCATGCGTAGCGTATCGACTTTGGAGAGTTTCTTGTGTGCACCGGGTCCAATGCCACGGCGACCGTTACTCAGATCGGCAATGATCGCAGGCGGTATGTGTTGGCGCAGATGCGAGAAACCGTTGTTCACTTGTTTGACGCGATTACGTTCGCGTGCGTTGCGGCGCACTACCGAGGGATTGTTGGAGTCGAGCGTGGTGCCGCTGATGCAACATTTATCGTCTGTGGGTTTCGTTGCGGTTGGCGGTGTGTGTGGTGCAGGTGCGATGGCACGCGGCTGTGGCTGATACATGTTGCGTGTTGTGCCGCACAGCGTTTGTGGTCTTTGGTAGGGATGTTGACTGTTGCTGGTGATGCTGCCGAGTGCCATTTTTGAGTATCGTATGCTGAACGTAATTTGTTTCGAGAAAATTTTTCTTTAACTTAGTTTCTTGTCTTGGAGTCTTGCTGTCCTGACACTGCCACGCTCTGTAGCTGAATGATGCCCTTCCTGCCGTTGCTGCGCTATTTGTACCTTTTTCCTCGTGCACCTTAGCCACCGTTGGTGCATGGGAATTGCACAGGAATTCTCCGATTCTTACCTGTATCACTACTGCACCGCAGGAATCTGCAGACAAAGAGTGAAATACTCATTTGCTGTGGTTATGCTTACCTGTACTCAAACCGATGCGAGCTACAGCTACAGCATCCAACGATCCTTCGCTTTGAGGGTTGTTGGTTAGGTTGATCATTTTCTGGTTTATGTGCTCTTGCTCTCTTTTTATTAGTGCTGCTCTTTACTTCAAATGCTATCTCTTTACTTAGTTTCATTAACTGCTTCACTTCCCCTACTTTCGTTCTCCTCTGTATGCAGTGAGAACAGTTGTAAGGAAATTTAATTTGCTGCTCACCGACATCGTTTAACTCTAAGCTCTCTGATTTATGCGTTGATTATGTCGTTTGTTGTTCGCTTTAACAATCTCTGGCAAACACATACTTTTATCTGAGCATAAGTTGAGTATTTTCTTGAGGTTTGAGTTAATTCCCAGGCCATTGCTGAGTAACGCGTGCCAAACCTTTTTTCAGTCTCTAGTAAGAAAAATTGGTGGGCTGAGTGTCTAAAAAGCTAAACCTAAATTATCGTGTAAACATACACGTATCTTACAGGAGCATAGTGAACATATTATAGCATATAGATTAATAGACCAGGGTATATATTTTATGAAAGAAAAAATAATAATAGGTTGTTGAAACCTATTGAAAAAGGAAGATTAAGTAACAAAAATGAAAGGTGAAAGAGTTTACGGGCGATCTGAAGTTGGGAAATGTAAGGAAGGGGATTAAAGAAGACGCCGTATAGTGTACGCAGTGCTCTATTGCAGCTGTGGAACCCATCGACGCCACTTGGTTCTAAATACAGTATGTGGAAAATATTCGTCTATTTGTCCTTTGAATTGTCTTCGAAAAGGCCTTAGTATGTACAGCACTTGTCAAAAACTATATTTTAAGTAAAAACTTGTAACACATTTTCGTTGAACTTTTTTTTATTTGAGTTTAGACCATCTTGCATACCAAATAAATATTAATTTGAAATCGGGTGGCAAGCCCGCCCACTCCCCATAAAACGGTACTGTTAAAAAATACTAAAAGCACGATAAACCAAGCACTAAACACGACAGAGACATTAAATTTTATCCCTGGGATGGTATGAGATAACTTAATGGGAACCGCGTTCAAAATCAGTCATTGGGCGTGGCACCGCCCACTTTTAGATGAAAACCGATATATTAGTATCTGCTAACCCGATTTCAACCAAATTCAGTACATAGCATTCTCCTCATATTTCTATGTTATAGTGCGAAAATAGGCGAAATCGGACCACAACCAAGCCTATTTCCCATATAACACCATTTTCAATTCCATCTGATTATTTCACTTTCCACTATGCATATCAAGCAACAATGATTATATCGGGGTAAAACTTTGCGTGAATAATACGTTTAAAGTATGCCACCTTGTGACCAAAAATTGTCTAAATCGAACCAAA